GGGAGCGGCGAGGGGCTGGCGGGCGGCCGCGAGGAAACGGCAGCCCGGATCACTTCTGCATGACAATTGATGGGAGGGAGGGCGCGGGGCGAGGAGGGAGGACGGCTGCGGTGTCCGTTTTCTCACCATGGTGATTAGGCATTCCGGCCGTAAGAGGAGGCAGCCGCCGCACAGAGCGGCGCGGCGTGGAGCGAGGGCAGGGGAAGAGCGGGAGCACAGCTAGAGCGAGCCCAGCCGCCGGGCGAGCGGCGCGCCGAGCCAAGCCAAGCCAGGCCAGATGGCTCTGCAGCCATCAGGGACCGCTCCCGTCCAGCCCGGCTCCACTTTAGCTGTGCAAACATTTCTTTATCCCAACAAGACAATTAAACCCAGCAGCATGAAAAAGAGTCTCCATGACTGTGTGGGGAGTGAACAACCAGAAACAACCACACACATCACAGGAGTTCTTGCCCCGGGGGAGTGGGGGAGAACCCGGGAGCAGCTGAGGGAGAGTCAGGCTAGGTCTGGGCAGTCAGGACAGAGGGAAGCATCTGACCCAGCTCTTCTGGCGATTTGCTGGCCCTTTCCCAGTGGTCATCTGTCCCAGCTGCAACCCAGAGGTGCAGCCTGGCCACCTGGCATGCCCCAAACATTCTCCCTAGCAAGAGCAACTCTCCTAAAAGCCCAGAGTGCAGTCCCTGCCCACTCCACTCCCAGAGCCCTTAGAAAGTATCCCCCTCACCCCAGCCCTCCCCATTCCAGGCTGCCTTTGGCCTAGATGGGCTCAGCTGATTTGACTGTTAGAACACAGGGTCTTCAATGATACACGCCTTTATAAAGACACAGAGTACAAAATACCATCTCCTACTCAGGGCTTTTGGGACCCAAGAATGGCTGCCCAAGTACATCAAAGATGAGAGCAAAGCGGAACATCCAGGAGCTGCTGTGAGCCATCAGGTTTCCTGCCTCCCTGTGACTCTGCCTGACCACAGTGAAGGGCAAGGAAAGAGGGCAAAGTCAAGCCACTTATGGTCAGTGCCCAGTGTCTATCCCTGGGGTAAAGCCAGAAGGCAGGGCCAGTCACCGCTCCACGTGGGCAGTTCTGGGCCCTCTCGGCCCTGTGGTGAGCATGTATACTTTGCCAGCTCCAATCTGGGCTGAGTGGATAGGCTGGCAGGCTGGCCAAAGGCTGTGTCACACAGGCAGGAATCTGGGCACAGGGGCAGCCTGAAGAGAACCATCAGGAAATGCACACGACAGGAGTCAGAATACTAAGGGGGTAATAAATGTACAGATTCTAACACAAGACAGCAGACAATACTTATCTTCCCTTTTGTTGTAAAGTTTCCTTAATGAGGAAATGTTTATTTTAAAGGCCCTGGGAAACATCGCTGTAGACACTTCATATGTAAGGCACACGTGAACTATTTGTAATTGGTCCATAAATTTTAGCATTATTTACCTGGACAACGAGCCTTGGGGACTGGTTCAGGGAGTGACAATAAACAGGAGTTACCTCAGTCCCCTTCCTGGGGAATTACGCATCCTCCATGAATGGCTTCTCACAAAACGCTTCTCCCATTTTCCGGGGCAAGTCAGTCAGTCCTGTAGAGTAAAGACTGCTTGTTTCCCGTAGAGCCCAACACCTCCCTCAGGAATCACCTGTGAAGCCAGGTGGATGGACAGGCGAGCAAACCAGAATCACCTACCAGGAAAGATGATGTTTGACCCAAAAAGCTATATTTCTGTCTACAAAAATGCGTGTTTAATCACAAAAGAAATCCTGCCTACCACTACCCAGATTTAAGAAAGAACATGTGTGCATTACACCATGTCTGCAGGCCTCTCTTTCCAGTGGGCTCGCAAGTGGACATATCTGCATATTGATACAGTGTGTGAGCAGGGGGTGGCTGCAACAGTAAAAACTGTCAGTGTTTCCATTATACAACTGATTTCTTAATGACCTAAAACTCAGTCATAAAAACTTCTGCTCTAAGTAAAGGACACACATCCCCATTCTCACCCCCCACCCCCACCCACCAACAAAACTCTAAAGCTAAATGCTTACTTTGGAGTTTGACTGCTGCATTTAATTAAAATGTTTAAAAAATATTTTATGAAAAGGTATTTACATGAAGAGAACTGAAAAACGAGTCAACCAAATCAGCAATTAACTCTAAATTTTAAGAATAAATATATATACATACATACACATATATGTGTGTGTGTATATATTAACCATATATGGTTAATTTGGGCAATCTGGCAAAAGCACTGTGTCCTATCACGCTGCTCATCTGAACACTTTTTATCCTCTGTCTTTTCATATCCCCATCCCCCGTCACTGCCCCCATCTGCCCCTGAAGCTCTCTCTCCCTTTGGAAGCAGTCTTGTATACTGTCACTCGATTATCTGAGAAATATTACTTATTTCAAAACGGTTCTGTAGGGAGGACCTGAAAGGCATCTAGTGGGAATAATCAGGCCTTCTAACGGCCCTTAAATATGTATTTACATAAAGCAGACCATAAATATTCCGACACACGTCGGCATATGACAGGAGCCAAGAAAGCTGCTGCAGACTTTGTCTTAGTGCCTCTTCAACCCTTCCTTACAGAAAAATACTTCTCCTGCCTTCCAAAAATTCGCAATCAAAAGCACAAATGCTATCCAGTGTGACCCAGTGAGGGATGTGCTAACCACCTAAGGTAAGGAAGGGAGGAAAGAGCACAAATCCAGGGTGACCACAGGGTAGCACAGCCTCCTTTTCACTTTGCACCTCTGTTTCTTATTAAAGATTAGTCACAAATGCAACTCTGGATAATAACGTGGGTATACAAACACCCTCCCCTCACAGACACTCCTATAGGTTTTATGCTTGTGTACAAGAAAAAAAGGAGAACACAAGGTACTCTATAAGGGAAGAATATTTTAAATGAATAAAAGAAGAAAAGGACTCCAATTTCTATAACACTACATTGGAAATAAAGAAGTTTCCCCACCCTTCTGATCAGAATCTCATTAATTTCAAGGTCAGAATTCCATTTCACTTTGGGAGACAGACTCATTTAATTTTTCTCCACCCAGGCGTATTCCTGTGTGAGGGATCCATCTCCATGGGGGATGCCACCACCACACAATGCAAACCAGGCAAACAGAAGAGTTATGGCTTTGACACTCAGAGAGGAATGGATATCCACGTCTATGAGTTCTGACTTGACTAACAAGCTTCCTCCTGCTCTGGAGTCTGATACAGGTTTGGGCTAAAAAGATAGAAAAATGGAGACAAGCTGGATCTGTTAGGTAAGAAGAGAGGGATCTCAATCTCCAGATGTTACTTTGAGGCATATTAGTTATGAGAGGATTTAATTTTCAACTTGTATTTGGAGGAAAAAAAGGGGGTAGAACCTGTTATACCCTAACACAAGGCAGTTTTAGCTGGAGGTCACATTACAACTAGCCTTGATAACTTGCACATCACCGGACAAGCAAAAACTAAAATAAAATAAAATAAAATTGACCAACACAATGCCGATACCTGTTCAGCAGGTATATCCAAGAAGCAGGATCACAAGACACACAAGTCAACAGAAAGTGAAAAGGTGAAAGAGAGCCAAAGCCAAAGGGAGAGGACAACGCTAGCAGTGGTGCTGTCAGCCAGCAGCCTTCTCCCTTAAGTGGGGAGGTCTCCAGCTTACAGACGCTGACATAAAAGACACACTTGCAACATATTTCAAAACCAAAGAGCGATGGATTTACAAGGCAGGTTGATTTTATGATGACTTTTATTGAAAAGGTACGCTGGGTTTAGGCAGATGCCTTTTAGCGCAGGAAAGTTAACACAGTGCCTAATTCAAGGAGACAGCCTGAGGAAGCAGTGGCGACAGGGGAGAGAGCTGCAATGTCTCTATTACTCTCCTCGGCATCATAAAGAGGAGGGAAAAAATGGTATTCGTGTTGGTGGTTATAGAGAGGACGGGAGCATGAAAAAATAGAGAAAAGGGGAAGGCAAACCTCAGATGTAGTTTTCTTAAGAAAATAAAATGAAGCAAATCTGAGAACAAAGGGTTGGGTGGAAAAAACACCCTCAGTTCATAAATTCTCACCAGGCTTGAAGAAAACTGCTCTGTCTACCCACAGCCCAAAAGCTTCAAAACACAATTATTTTCTGATTATATTAGAGCAAAAGATTGCAGGGTTCAGCACTCCTAGTCTACAAGTTCCAAATAAAGGTTTAGTTCCAGCTATGAGTAAGTGTAGCCAGAGCCCAACAAGGCACTTGGAGAACATGAGAAAAAACTGTTTCATAAGCAGAAATTAATAATAGTTGTGAACATCAAATATGGAGCAGTCCCACAGGTCAACCGTGTCTAGTCCTAAAAGTGAGCCCCAGGATAAGCATCCAGCAAACCTGTGAAATCCCAAGAGAAGTCGGCTTTCTAGCCTTGCGATCGCAAGGAAAACACAGCTGTTTGAAATGCTTTATGGTGATTGACGACACCTTTGTCCTTCTCTGAAAAATAGCCTGATGTGGACAAGGGCTGAGAGTTGTGAAAATAGAATCACGTGGAGTCTGCTGGATGTGATACAATGGAAAAGCTAAAAAATAACACTAAGATCAGACAAACATAATGAGGACAGCAAAGAGAGGAGGGGTGGACATGTTTCTTTAGGCCCCCCAAATTCCCTAGGAGCCGACACTTCTTAATGAAATGACATTCACTTCACTACATCAGTGGTACCCCTCTTCGCTCCAGTCCTCAGAGAATAAGCCCACCATGACCCGGAGAGAAAGGCTGTGCTGGGGCCAACTTGCCTCTGGCTACTTTCAGAAAAACACTTCAAGAACTATCAGTGCTCACTGATAAGAGACAAGCAAAGGTTAGCACTCCACAGCTAGCGAAAGGGAAGTAGTTGGCCCTTCCCGCTACTAGGAGCATGCAAAACGCCACCGACCTGTTGAACATCACAGTGAGGCAGGGCTTACTGGGGGTACGGGAGGGCTCGAACCAAAGTACTTACATCTGTCATTCCGATCCTCTGGGCTAGATGATGCTTCCCGATCAGAAATGAGGCCAGAGACAGCAAAAATCTTCTTCCCAGTGTCATCAACCTTTAGTGAACCGGGGGAGCTAGATGGCAGCTGTGTCCCAAAGTCATATTCCTTGCCATCTGCATCTGAGAAGCGTAAGTGGGGAGATTCTGTGTCATGGCAGTTCTTAAGTCGCTTGGCCGGCGTAAAGGCTGACTGATAGCTCTCCCGGTCCTCGGTGGAGGCAAAGGGCCGGAAAGCCCCCACACCACTATGATTCAGCATACTGATTGGGGTGCAATCTAGATTTGGGGGAGCAAATTGAGGATGGAGGTGTAGTAGAGAAGGGGGGAAATCACGATTGGCAAAAGTGCCTGGCACCCCACCTTGCCGATGGTACATAGAGGCAAAGGTATAGGAACCGTTGGTGAAAGGAATATGCACGTCCTTGTCAACTGAGACAGGTACACCAAAGGGTCGTGGCTGCTGACAAGGGATGGAAGCATCACGGCTGGCCTCAGCCGTGGATGCCAGGACCATCAGTGCTGGGGATGCCAGAGGGTTGGGAAGGTAGGATGAGTTCTCCATCTTGAAGGCTGCCCGGTGTAAGTCCATCGGAGTCTCTTTCTGTGGCCGGCGTTACACAAGAAGCAGTCTTCCCTGGGAGGGAGGCCAAGCGGCACCTTGGGTCAGGGCAGGGAATATTACTGGGGAATCATTCCCTTCTAAGACCTGTAGAAACAGCAAAGAGAAAAAAAGAAGGGGGAGGAAAGTCAGGGGGAGGAAAAAAAGGGAAACCCCCAAGTGATCGAAACACCATCCTTCTGGCTTACAGATGCTCGGGCAAGAGACACCACAGGCTTTAGGAGCCAGTGGGCAGCAGCATCAGACCATTTTCATTCAGGAAAATCAATAGACAACTTACTGTGATGTACGCGTAGCTGACTTTGGTCCCTACACGTTCCGGGTGAAATGCGCCTGAGCCCAGCAAAGAAAAAAATATCATAAAACCTCCAAATACGATATTCCCTGAACAAATGAGCTTTGGAAGGCCAAGCCATCCAGTAGATTAAGTGGGGGTCTATGTTTTAAAGTGCTTCCACCTGCATCCACAGGCCACTCATGGCAGGCCTGATGTTCAGAGACCACATTCTACGTATACGATTCCCCACATATGCATCCTCTCTTCATCTCCCCTAACAACTCCCTGATACTGAAATATCCCTAATTTCAAGTTCATCCAGACCAGAGGCACTTGTACATATTAGTACAAAGTATACACATGGATAAATGATACACATTGGCACATACATACACACACACACACATCTTCATGTATCATCTAAGACTGTTTCCAGAAAAAAGTGCTATGTGAACAAACAGCATTAACATTTATTTTGATGCACACCCCTCTCTAATCACATGGGCTTTCTATTTCTCTTTTCTGAGAAGGAACAAAACCTTCATCAATAAAATGCCTGGCGTCTCTGACAATATTTAAAACCATAATGGGTGCCTTTGGCATACGCTCTCTAGAAGCGTCTGTCTTCTAAGGGCAGCAAAGAACGGATCGGTAATTTTAGTTACTAATGCACTCACTCTTAAGTAGATTTGTAAACTGCCTTGGATTTGCCATTAACATTTAGAACAAAATGTTAACAAAATTTCTGACTTATTTTGCTCTGCTTATTGGCCCAGTCAGAGCTGATGTCCAATAAAGGCCCTCGGAACAAATTGGAGTTCGGAGAGACTTCTTTCAGTTTCCCTTGTAAATTTAGGTTGTACATTTTCATAGTCGCTGGTTCCATTCCAAAGTGTATTTTGAGTGGGGGCTGGGAGAAGGGCTATATATCAAAAGCCAGGACAACATAAAGACGAATACCAGGACTTATTAGCATCAAAAATATACATGAAATAGAAACTTAATGAAACTCAAAGCATAACCAAAAATCACCGTCTGCTACAAATTACAGCCTTTAAATGGAGAGTCATATCAGAAATAAAATCTACCTCCTTCCTTTTAAAAAGCCCACCTGGAGTATCTTTGGTATTCCCTCAAATAGAGAAACCTCAGTTAAACGGTAGATGAATCCTCCTGGCTTAATGCAGTGCAAAGAGAGTATTTCCTTCTCCCATCCTGTAGCAGACGTGTCAATGACTGTTATTAATTGGGAAGATGAGTGGACACCATCAGACTGCTTCCTCATTTGGCATCTTTCCTTATAGACATCATTGCTAAATTACCAGATTATGTATCTCACATTAACGGATTTTTCTCTCTTCCAAATTTTAAATAACTTTCCTGTCAAGTTATAGCAGTGCAGGGAATGATCTGCCAAGGACAGCCAGTTAGCCTGACAAGTCTGGGAATCCTGTTCTTGGCTGTTTTCTAGTCAGATTAATGGTCACACAACATGGACGCTCTGAAAGTGGGTCTAGGGCTGTTCCAAGAGTTCCAAGCAGCTCTTCACAACAGAAATAGCTACTTGTCTATCAACAAGCAATATTATATGAGGCAAACTGGAGAAAAGGACAAACATAACACACTGAGTGTGAAGGGAGGAATGTTTCCCCCTCACAATACGACCTCCCCCGGCCCCAGGATTCACTTGCTATTTTTACTTCCTAGATCACCTCATTATCTTAAATGAGTTTCATAAATTAGGAATCTGGTGACAGCACCGGACACTCCAACAGAACCCGGTGAATCACTCAACCCTGGTTATTCATTTGAAAACTTCATTACACTGAAAATAAATCAACAATATTTTTCCAGGCCACATCTCTCTTACTCCACTGCGTGGGCGTGTTGGTCTCCATGGGGGAGGGGGAGTGCTTTTTTCTTTTCCCTTTTCTTTCTTACCCTCTCCTCACATTAACAACTTGTATAGATGAGGCTTCAGCCGACCACAGTCATTATGAAAATCTATAGTTAATACACTCCCAATGTCAAAATGTCATGGGTTTAAACACAGAACCCAAAATAAGAAAACTAACTGACCCTCTTAATTAAAAAAATATGGATTGTAAGATAATCAGCTTGATGGAGCATTTGGTTGACTGTGAAGAACTGGGCAAAGGGAAAGTAAGTAACTGTTACTTTTCTGACTCTATGCTGATTTTTTTTAATTTAGCACTTCGTGCAAATCCAGATTAAAATAACTCCAGCTATTGATCCGAGCAGTGGAATTGACATTAATTTTAGTTCACTTCTCACTTTGCAAAGGGATCAATAGGAAGTAATAACAGCTGACATCCCCGCTGAAAGGAGGAGAAAGAAGGGCTGAAGACAGAAATCGAAAAGCAACCAAATAAATCATCAGCTACTTTTCCACGGCATCAGACAAACTCCAAACAGATTGCAAAAAGTCTTTGTTGAATTAACTAAACAAGGAGGAGGGATCAATCCACGAAGCTAAATAAATTGTCTGGCAGGCAGTGAGGCTGGACGGAGGGACCAACAAATATTGAGTTAAAAAAATTTCAAATCCTTGACGTGATGGGTTTGGTTCAGTTCCGTATCTGTGGGAGTTTGTTTGTTTCTTAAATCACACTCCCGATCCTGCTTTAAAGTGATTACAAAACGCCAGCTATCTGAATAATTAGTGAGATTACTAATTGCGTGGTTAAACATGCCAGAACCAAGACAAATGAAACGAAGACGCCCGCGTTTGGAACGTGAAAATGTCTGAGGCTGGGCTGATGCGCAGCGCTCCGCGCTCTGCGGAGCGAACTAGCCACTTTCGCACAGAAAAACCGAAAGCCCAAGACAAAGTCTCAGAGAGTAGGTAATCTCCCATCCCATCCTCTGCCCATCCCGGTCCAGGGTCTGGGCTTCCTGACCTGCGCCCGGGATCGGCGTAGAAGGAAGCGGTGACTGCTGCCGCTGCCTCTGCCGTAGCTGAGAGCCAAACCCATTTGCAAATGACTGCCACAAAGAAAGCTGCAAAGGGCTCTTTCCCGGAGCCGAGCTCAGGGCGCCCACCAAACTATGGCTCTGCTGGCAATTAAAATGCACACACAACACTCCTCTGCTTATTACAACAGGTGACATTTTTGTGGTCTCTGAACCGTTTCCAAAAGCCAGGAATTAAAATAATAGAACAAATTAAACGATATTTTTCCTTTGCATAAATAAACTTTTAAAAAATTAACAGGGAACTTAAAAAGCAAAGAACAATGGGAAATGAGGCAGAGTAGTGGGGGGTTGTTAAGAACGCAGGGAAGAATTTTTTTTTTTTTTAAGTTCACAGACTTCGCTTGAAGAGAATTCCCGCACACCAAATGCCCAGGGGGTATTTGGAAACACCGCTCTAACAGAAATTTTACCACCATATGCGACAGCTCAGGGAACATAAGGCCAACACAGTTCCCGGGCTAGGGCCGACGCCTGTGCTTCAGGCACGGCCGGGTATCGGTCCCAGATTTGGACCCGGATTCAGGCCCAGCTTGGCCAACGGGTGCGAATCCGAGACAGCCCGGGCCAGTCCGAGAGTGCGGGATCGCTGGGATATGGGCTTAGCGAGAGGGTGCATTATTCAGGTCGGAAGAGTCCCGACTGGGAAAAAATCAACTCTTTCAGGAGAAACGGGGGAAGAGAGGTGAAGGCGAAACCTACATAAACTTGGGGCCAACGCGGAGCCAAGCCCACTACTCTTTGGCCTGACCTCTCCCTCCGGCTCTCGGTTGCCTTTGTATATAGAATACTCTAGGTCCCAACAACCTCTGCACGAAACGATCTGCGCCTAACTTTGGGCAACCAAGGCGCCAGTCCGGGAAGAACCGACACGTGCAAGGGCCCCCGGTCCGCAGCCGCGCGGGGCCCGCGGGGCAGGGACTCAGAGCTGCCAGCCTTCGACC